GGGCTGGAGTAGGGGTGCGGTGGGGGTGTGGGGCACAGGGGGCCTCTCCTTGGGTCACAGTGTGGCCCTGTCACGTGTGACAATGTCTTGTGCATAGGGCACGATGTGGCCTCTCCGTGGGTCACAACGTAGCCCTGTCACATGTGGTGGCACTTTGTCACCGTGGGTCATGGTGGGGCTTCACTGTGGGTCACAACATGGCCCTGTCACGCGTGATGTGGCCTTGTTGCATGCGGGGCATGACGGGGCCTTGCTGCGAGTTGCGACACGGCTCTGTCACGCGTGACGGGACCTTGCTGTATATGGGGCTGTGGGTCCCAGCATGGCCCTGTTGCATGTGGTGGTCCCTCGACACATGTGGGGCACAACGGGGCCTTGCTGTGGGTCGCAACACAGCCCCATCACATGTGTTCCATGGGTGCCCTGTCTCACCCGGGTCACGGCAGCACCTTGTCACATGTGGCGGAGCCTCCTGGCACATGGGTCACAATCTGGCTTGCAGCACAGCCCAGCCACACGCAGGAGTCACCTCACGTGTGGTCACCCCTCTCCTTGCTTTCCCTGTGAGGAGGGAGCCCCTGCAACCCTATCGGGGTAGTACACAGGATGGAGCAAGGCTTGGAAAAGAGCAGCAGTGCTCTGAGTTACAGGTTTCAGGAAAGAGACACCACAGATTTACACAGAGATAGTCATAAAACTGCATGCAAAAATCCCCGTGGGTGTTGCAAGTGGATGCACCAAGGCGCAGGGGGTATGTTTGGACTGTAAACTCAACAACAGCAACATTACTCTGTCCTTGTTTTGCAAAGCCAAAGCTATTTTAAAGGCTAAACCACGCATAATAAAGACCATGGCACTGGAGAGGCCGTGTGTGTATTCTTACAACATACAGTGACACCTTCAAATATAAATATATATGTGTGTATGTAGTCGCTGTTCATCTGCAGTTAGAACCACTCCAGTCCTAAGGGTAATAAACTTTCATCTGCAGTCGAACTAACAGTGAACGTTATTGTGCACTTGGCCTTGAGCTGGCCTTTGTGTAATATAATATACTTCTTAGTTATTAAGCTCTGATTAAGATTTGCATTTTAAAAGTTGATTTTATGTTTGTAGACGTTTGTACTACCAGCAAATGCAGCTGATTTGTGTAGTGCCATTTTTCTGCAAATAATTTTGAGTATGCAGGCTCATCTGTATTAAATTTGCAAATACAGATTTGCAAATCTGCACATACAGATATGCAGTTAAATATTGTATAAATTTGCAAATTTGACTGCAGTGATCTGGAAATTCAGTTCCACTGATGCAAGTGCTTTGTACAAACAGAAGGCTTGTGTTAATACGGTTTGTTTTCATTCTATTTCTCATTTGTTAAATCTTGCAGTAATATCATTGCAAACTATGTAGCAGAGAAAAATGCTTCTGAAAATGGGAGCAGTGTTTGCTTTTGTGTAGTTTATATTTTCAGTTTGATATTCCTCTTATCTCAGAGCAGGCTTTAACCTTGGAGGCATTTGCCACGTATTCCGTATTACACATTTAACTCTTTTATAGTAGTGTCCAAGGCTGCTGCTCTAGTGAATTGTACTTTTGCTGTTTTGAAATATCTACAAAAATGCCTGTGGACTGGAGCTGTATGTAGTAGTTCTCTGTGCAGAAGAAACCCTTGGTTTGACTCCGTATGAAACAACCTGTGAATATTCCTTCCTGTACATGGTTGTTCTGAATCTAACAATAATGATTTTCCTCCAGAAATCGTTCTTTAAGCGCCTTTGATGGGGAATTACAGAAACTTTGTCATTATTCAGGAAGTAGAGTAGGTGTTAAATTGGTTACCCAAATAGCACGTGGGGCGATGCCTTGTGATACATCCTTACCTCTCTTACTGAAGCTTTATAAGGGAAAATAATGCATCGCGTTGCATATATCTGTTAGAGGGAATATACCAGGCTTATGCAGAGAAAAAGTCTTCCTAGAAATACATTGTCCCGAGTATGTTGGTATTCTGTATCATTTTTAAATGGTAGATTTGACCCATTTCTGCGGTTTCAATTTTTCCAGTATGTGTGTGTGTGGTTTGTTGGAACTTCCTTAGCATAAGCAGAAGTAGAGTTGGTTAAAATAGTATCGCTGGCCTTCCTCCTTCATGCAGTTATTGAAGTTATTTCGAGTCTCTAGCATAACTTCTCAAAAACTTTATTGTTAGTTTACACATGTTATTATGAACCTTCAGTATGTTTAGACTATTTACTCAAACTGGACTTCTTTCATGTGGATGATGTGCTTATTGTTTTACTCTGTCGTAATGCAGTGTAACAGACTCCCTGCATATTTTTTTTGCCCTATTTTCAGGCTGCAATCACTAAAATCTAGGCCGTGTTACAGGGCACCTCAAAAATACTAATGCTATTTTAAAACAGAGTGCTCAGCAGCATTTTTTTTTTAAATGGTCTCCAGTGGCACTATAAATGCGTATGGTCTGGGCAGAAGTGGGACTGTCTTATCCTTTAGAAAGGAAAAGCCCTGTTTGGAGCAGAAGGGGCTGCTCAGCAGCGCATCTCCCAGCTGGTGCTCTTTAACCCAAGTGCTCAGCTGGGGTGGGCTGGCTTTGTTGTGCAGCGGGTGTTTGCGTCGGGGTTGTGGTGCCTCTACCCATTGTCTGCAGGAGCGTCCAGACAGGTGGAAAAGGGAGGAGGAGTGGTGGAAGTTGAAAGAGATAAATACCGGGAAGCCAAACTTTTTTTTATTTTGCATTTTATTTGATAAAATAGCCCGTTGGGTCTTTTGTGTTCGTGTGAATACGTGCCCATCTGCTAGAATGTTTGTAGTTACTCCTGGTGCCTGTTCAGCTGTTGGCACGTTGGGTACGACTGAAATTCCCAATCAGCTGCTCCGTCCTCCTTCAACGCCAAATAAAGGTTGAGCTGAATTTCAGAAGCAGAAATGCTTGAGCTCTTTGACACGTATAAAAAAGAATCACTTAGTCATGTCCCGAGTGAAATATGTAGCCTCTCAGTTAAAATTTGGCTATTTTAAAGTAGATTTCAGATATTCCCGATGTGTACATAAAAATAAGACAATTTTCAAGAGGCAGCATGTGAGCCTTGGAGTGCTTCATTGGGGACTGTGTGATTCTTAAGGCTGTTGAGAAAATCATAAGCTCATTACAAGCCAGGCTGTGTTAAAATGAACTATGATACAAGATGCGTGAAATTTATAGTTATGTAATTGACAGCCATATGGATGGGTAACTGCTGGGTTAATCTTGTAAAATAAGCAAGAGATCAGCTGAGGTATGTGATCACTTCTGCTGAAAATTTAAGGTATCTTTCTTTTCAGATTGGGAATCTGCAATCAGAATTGGTGTGCTAGATTGTGGGGAAGAGGAGAACTACGAGACATGTAAAGAATATGGTATTCATTATTATCCAACATTTAGGGTAAGTGACATGAAATATTGCATAATGTAAATGATACATGCTTTATAGTAATCAGAACCACAGCAAATGTGTTCACTCAGAGCATTACATGTGACCCTTTTTTTTTAGCTGTTTAATTTCTTTGGTTTTGCAGAGAAAACTGCAGAGCTGTTAAAAGAAGTTTTGAGGTTCTAGAATAGAACCATCTCGAATAGCAATGCAGCCCTCAGATCTGAATCTGATTTTTTTCCCCCTTTAAAGCTGTGGGGGGTAAATTGTAATGTACTTTTTACTAGACGCTGAGAGCACAGTTGAGCTCCATTATATGCCATGTTCTAACCACTGGAGGGAGTTGAGAAATCTGTGAATAGTACTTTAAGGGCCAGGAAAACCTTTTTTTTTTCCCTCTAAACTGTGCTTTTGCCTCATGCAGTGAGTTGTTTTCAAAGGAATGCTTTCTTTTTTTTTCCTCTCCTGCATAGTACTTCAAGGCATTTACAAAGCAGTTTACAATCGGAGAAAATTATAAAGGTAAGAATATCCTACTCTTAAGAAACCTCCACAGCATTTATCCTATCTCTCAGGAATACAGCAAGCAAAATCCCTTTACCTTTCAATTAATTTAGGCATCTAGTGATAGGTTAGATATTGAATAGCCCTTTAGGATATGACATTAAAATACTGCATGAAATGAAATGTCAGACAGATTTTTAGGCAGGCATTTGTTCAAGAGCTTAGGCTTCATACTCCTCATGTTCATAAATGTAGTTCTTAGTTTTCACAGATGCTTACATTATTTTTTTTGTAATTCATTTAGACAAAACACATCTCACCAGCATGATATTCCGTTTGCTTGGCCTGATGCTTTTTTGATGTCAGCCACTTTCCAGGCATCCTGAATCTCGCTGGGAAAACCCCTATTCAGATGGTGACTATCTGAGAACAGGCTTATCCTGTGTGTCTGACAGGATCACAGCTTGAAGTGGTTTGTCTGTAGACAAAAGTAATGTTGTCTTTTCCAATGGATTAACATTTAAAAGGCCAGAGGTCAGAGAAGAGACCACCTGCACCATTAGCCCTTCATGTAGAATTAGGCTGTAATTGTACCTGTTACTTTTGGCATTTGTGAGAGCTTCTAGATTTTATTTCTTTTAAAAAATATATATATCCTCATACTTAAGTTGCCTGGTTTTACTGTTATGTAGCTTAGTAGCCACAACTGGTCTATTTGTTAAGAATAGTATACTTGTGCAGTATTTAATGCACGATAAATGTCTTTATAGCAAAAGAGCTGCTACAGTCTCCCACAGCAAGTATTGGAAAAAAAAAAAAATACCCAAAGCCCACAACCTTAGAATGAAGCAATCTTTGAAGAGAAAATCAGCAAGGCAGGCAGATGGTTAGGTTTGGGAAAGTCTTGAGGTGTTTTTAATTTTGGGATAGGATGACAGCTCTTAAATACTCTCTTGCCTCCACATTAAACTGGAATCCTACAATTAAATCTTAGCTTCCTCTTCTTAAACCAAATCATATTGCTTGTTTAAAACAAAACAAACAAACAAAAATGAAAGCAAAAACCTAGCCCACAAAAATGTGTGTTTGTGAAAATCTGTATGTGAATCTTTTTCTTTTCTCCTCTGTTTTCTGAATAGTTCTCTGGGTGGTTTGTTGGGGATTTTGTTCTTTCTTTCTTTTGTAACCTGTATTCAGAAGGAGCAGATCGTGAGCTGCAAACAGTTCGCCAGATGATGATTGACTTCTTACAGAACCACACTCAAGAGCTGAGGCCACCTGCTTGCCCTCCCTTGGACCCAGTTTCGTAAGTTCCTTGTTTAAAACACATGGTTATGCTAACTGAAATGTAAAAAGACTCGTTAAAGTATGATTTTTTATGATTATTCTGCTACAATATGATTAAAGAAAATTGCATCAGTAACAATGAGGTCGTTACATTTTCCTGTGCTAAATGGCTTTTCTCTTCTTAAAAGGTCCAGTGATATTACTTCCCTTTTCGACAAGAGTAGCCCTCATTACACTGCCATCGTGTTTGAAAACAGTAACTCCTATGTTGGACGAGAGGTAACGTATGACATATGAATGACAAAAATAGTGTAAATGACAATAACACAGCCGAGATTTTTATTATTATTATTGTTATTTAACCCAGATTAGAGAGGAGATGAAAAGAAGATCATGCGCATTTGGGATATTTGGAAGTCAAATAATGACATAAAGCTTTAAAATTGCCTTCAGTCATACAAAGAAATTTGCTTAAAATTGAGCATGATATCACATTAACTTCTTCCTTTCGTACATTCCCAGAAAAAAACAGCTCATTGATTTCATTGTCAGCATTATTCTTTGGAGTCTCAAGATTTGTAAAATCACAAGAAAAATATTGTCGGACTATATATACATGACTTATTCTTTTGTTATTGCTACAAAAGCGTTTGTAATATTGTTTTTTTGGGGCAGATTTTGTGATTTCAACTTTTTATAGCAATCTAAAATATCTGGGATTTCAACTTTTTATAGCAATCTAAAACATCTGGTTCCTTTTCTTTGCATACAGATCTTAATTTTATACAATCATCCTAATTAAAGAATAAATATTTTCACAGATCTAAGGCACTGAGAAAATGAAAGTCTTTAAAAAATGTAATTTTTTGGCTCTGTCCCCCTTCCTTCCTCTCCTCTTCTCCCCTCCCCTCATCCCCCCGAAGTGAAATACTCTATTTGGCCTCATATCAACACCTAATGAGCCTGCTGTTAGCTTAGGCAACGGTTACTTTTCTCTTGCTGCCAAAATACAGGATACGTAAAGAAAATAAATTGCATAATTATCTAGGCATAATCTGTGGAGGAAACATCGAGTGTCTGTGAAATGTTTCTAATTAGATTTGATGCCGAGATGACCCAGTTGTATAAGTGGAGGAGGTTGTGCTGCCAAAACTGGAAATCACTTTGAAAAGCAGACAGCTTCCAGACGTTTGTTTCTGGAAACTGTTGTGTTGATACAAGTGGGCCTCACTGAAAGGAAAAGTGATGAACGTAAAATTCCTCAGTATTTTATCACACTCTCTTTAATTTTATTACCTTCTGCTATGGGGTGTCACCTGAATAACAGAAAATGGAGTCTGCTTTGAGGCAGATTTGCTGATGTTACATAGTATTTAGCTTTATAGGACATTCTAGCGAAACAGAAAAGACTCATGTTTTCTAGTTTATAGCATGTGTAAGGCAAAATGGACAAATTTAATAGCAGTCTCAGCTGGAAGACTTTGTAGATAAGAATGGAGTACTTGAAATGGAAATGGAAGAGCATAAACTAATGTATGGATCTGAGGAGTGCAGTTATTAGAACACTAAGAGTATTGCCTTTAGCAGCAGGATCTTCAAGGTTTTAAGAAGGGAAGGAATGAGAGTTTGGTTGGGATTTTTTTCATTTGTTTGTTTATTTTCGGAGGGGTTTGAACTGCTTTAACTGAGTCATCAGTTTGTTTATTTTCGGAGGGGTTTGAACAAATCTTCACTGCTTTAACTGAGTCATCGTATTCATAGGTGCAACTTTGTAGTTGGCAAAGAACATTGATAGTTGAATCCTGACAAAACTTGGAGGCATCTTCATGATACCACCTTCTTCTGCCTCCTACACCCTTTACTGGAGTTTACACCTTGCAAGGAATGTGTGCCCACTCCAGCTGCTCCAGTGCAAAAGCCCAGCATCAGGTTTAAACAGCTGAGGAAGATTGGTTTGAGCTAAGATGCTGGACTAGGGACTGGATCTTTTGAGGTATGGGCACTATATTCCAATCTGCAGTCTCTGCTGTGGGGCTGCTAAATAAAAAGAGCTGCATGAACAGCTAGGTGCTGTGACAGCCCGATTACACAGCACAATTTGACAGGGCTTGTCAGGCAAAACCTGGACTTGTGTAAGTCCTTGATTGTTTATGGCTCATAGACTTTGACACCAACATCAGAATGCCATAAGCAGGGTGATCGTATAACTGTTTCTTCACAATCTGAAAATTTGCCTTTAAACACACACACTCACTCATATAAATGTGTGTACATATATATATATAAAATACATGAAACATACACCTAGTTGGTTCCTGTGAAATATCTTCTGGGCTATTTTGAAGTTTATGAGGACATTTTATCATTCATTCGTTCTCATGTTTTCTTCGGATGTTAGACTTCAAAGGGAAAAGATCAGGGTAGAAAAAGAAAAAGATAAAAGACAAGAATAAATCATTTACAGAGAAGCGTAAATCTTCTTCAGAAGAAATTGTTACCATCCAGAGAATGCTAGTAAGTGCACTTCCTTGGTGAACAGTTTAATGATACTCTTAAAGGATGATGCACTTCACCTATCTACCTGTCTTGTTCTACAAGATTGGATATTCCTTGTACAATGTATAAATCATGTTATCTTTTCATTACCCAGGTTATCTTAGATTTGATTCAGTATGAAAACATTGTGGTAAAGAGAGCACTGAATTTTGATAAGCCTTTTCTGGAGAAACTCAGTATTACGTCTATCCCTTCATGCTACCTGGTACATCCAAATGGATCCCACGGATTAATTAACATGTAAGTAGTTATCTGCCTCTGAGAGATGTGTGCTACTTTAAGGGGTTTTCTTGAACTGTGACAATTTCTATAACTTTTTATACAAAGAAGCTATTTTCTAACCTTTTTGGTTTATATTTATATAATGACAATGTATCTTAGCTTGTAATTAATATATGGTAGTTTCCCATTCCCTTTCCTTGTTTTGAAATAATCTTTGCTTTGTTACTTTATCTGCAGTTTGAAGCCCCTACGGTCTTTTTTTTCTTCGTATCTAAAGTCACTGCCAGGTGTAACAAAAAAGCTTCTTTTGCCACCTCAGCTACCTGTAAAGGGAAACAAAGAGGAGAGCACAGAAATCAAGGAGTGGAAAGAATTTGATAAGTAAGTGATACCCTTGACTTTCAGATTAATGCTTGTTTATTAAAATTTCCATGCACTTTATTCTTGCCATGTAGAAAGCTATACCATAAAATAAATTACAAAACCTCAGTGTAGGCGAAAACTTCATTCCATCCCAGTTGATGCATCCTGAGTTGAATAGGTTGGTCACAACCTAATGATCTGCAATCTTCCACTCAGAAAAAATAAATAATTTCATGTTTAATTGTGGAGAAGTGATGGCATCCAGCAGAAAGCATTGCTTGCAGCTATTGTTGCAAGTTCTCAGTGTATTCAGTTAGCAGTAGTGAATTAATTCAATTACAAGCAAGAAGCAAGGACACCACTTCTACCAACTGCAGGTAACCTTCTTGCAATCATGACTGGTGCTCTGAGTGTTTCAGAGGTGGCTGGAGGATTTTAGTGTTTGTTTTTTTGGCAGCAAATATCTGCACTGCTGTGGAAGCAAAGATTTTTTTAGAAAATATTTTTAGCTACTTAATTGATGTAAAAATACTGAGGTCTCATCAACTATTACCTGAAATATATAGCTCACTGACTTAAATTGTTCGAAAAATTCAGCAAATAAATTGATGTCCCAGAATAAAAGTATATAGTAAAATAATTTCAGCAAAAAAACCAAGAAATCTCTTTGTGCTTGGTAGTGACGCAGTGTCCACTAGAAAGTGCTTAGAAAATGCTGATGGAATAGAAAACTCTCAAGTCACCAGAGAAGACATTTATCATACCAAATCCAGTAAGGTTTATCTTTACCCTCTTTCTCTGTTGGAAAGAATGATACCAGGGCTTTGCAGAGAAGTAATCCCTCTGCCTCTTTATCTTTAGATGGAAGAGATGTAGGACGGAGTGTTTTCATTTCATACTTATTTTCGTCTCATGGAGACTATTAGTGTAGTTTTCTTTCAACAACAATAATAAGAAAATATTTTATGTAGAACATTGTTATCAAAACAACCTGGTTAAACTGAGCTGCTTTCCAGCAGGACAAGATCTTGTTGATCTGGATCTCCTGTCTAAGCATCGTTCAGATAGTTTGGGTTTTTTTTTTTATGTGAATTACGTGCATGCATATGAATCTCTCTTTAAGAAACTTGAATTAACAGAATTTTACAGGTTTTATTATAAGTGAGTACATTAAAGAGGTGAATGTCAGAGTAAGTCTGTAGCTTGAATTGTTAAGAACATAGATTATTCTGCTGATATTTATATATGTTATATATGTATGTATATATGCATTTTATTTCTGGATGGGGGGAGAGAGTGTTTTGACTAGTTGTTTCTTTAATTCTACTTGCTTTTTAGATGTGATACTTTTTTTTGAACTCTTATATAAAAGTGGTTAACTCTTACATGCATTTCTGCTTGAAGTGCTACGTTGCTCTGCATCTTACTGACTCAAGGTTATAACCTGAAAGTATTAAAAAAGAGTGTTTAACTTGATGCGTTTGTATTTTGTTAAGTGCTTTGTGTTGTGAATATTTTTTTGTTGCTGTGATAGTTCCAAATGTGAAGAACTGTTAAAATCTTTTGATTTGCTTTAGATGTTTTACTTGTACCTGTCATAAGGTACTTAATCACATCAGTCTTGAGACATAATTTAATTTGACTTTTAAACTTGTATGCAAATAACCTACAGTAGAGCTCCTACATTTTAGAAAGGATTTACAGATTCAGTCCTTTCTA